GCATATAGGGTGTCTGCCCAGACCAATGTCTCCCCTATAATTCCTATCATTCGTCCGACTCTGAAATGGTCTTGTCAGACCGAAAGGGCCTAACCCAACAAAACAAAAACAAACAAGCAGCGTGCGCCAGTCGCAGCTGGGCTGGCTGCCAGCAGCGCCGGCTCTCGATGACACGTCTATGGCGGAGTGGGAATGGGCGTGAATTGATGCGTGTGCCTGTAATTTAGCATAAGTGACCAACAGTGAGCTGTTTCTACTTTGATATATTTAGCCTGACTCTGGAATAGCCACACTTGAGTGGAACGGGTCTAATTGGGACGTGAACTAAATAAATGTATAACCATGTATAACTAAATAAAGCGGCGGTACATGCATGGGTAAATCACTGAGCAGTTTAAAATAAAAAAGGTATTTATGGTGTGCATATGATTTATAAGCTTTTTGTCAGCGTGCGAGGCCTTAGAGCTAGCCTCCTTTGTTTTAACATCACGGACGGCACGTATGCCACCCACATGCTGCACACTTGTTTTTATTTGGCCCAATCACTCTGAAATTTCTCAAACTTCCTGACCGGTCAGTGAGTTTGCAAACTCCCTAGTGAATTTGTAAACTCCCTAGTGAGTTTGCAAATTCACTGATGGGTCAGGGAGTTTGCAAACTCACTAGGGAGTTTGCAAACTCACGGATTTCTCAAACTCCCTGTAACATATTCATCGTATTGATCGTATTGATCAATACGTATCGTATTGAGAGTATCTTATTGATTGATCGTATCGTATTGAGCCATCGTATTGATGGCCTGAACATATTTCAGATAAGTCAATGGCCCTGCCATGTCGTCTCCATCAAAAGTTCAAAAGTTATGGTCGCAAAATATGTGACCTTTATTGTGATTTGAAGTATCTGTTCAAAGGAGGAGGCATTTGCTTTTAGGAAACACTTTAAAAGGCGTAAGGCATTTGAGTTTCTCTTCCTTGCCTGTCGAGTTTATAGGTGGTTTATAGTGGTGAAGTCCCAGGGTCAGATCAAATTGTGACTTCACCATTGCATATAACCTCCGCAAGAAAGAAAAGCTTGTAATTGACACCGTTATGCAATTTACCAACTTAAAAACCAAGAACAGATGGGCTGTAGGAATGACCGGATCTCATTGCAAGAGACAGGGTTTCAAAGCTGGACCTAGTAGAGGCGACCTGACCTGAAGTGATGTCAGTAAAAATAAGATAAAATTAACACGATACCTAAAAATTTGATTAACCCTCGCCCTGGCAGGGGGGGGGCGATGCGACCCCCCCCTAAGGTTTTTCGAAGATAGCGTAAAAACGGCGGCGCGCAGCGCCGCCAAATTTGGCACAGCCTATGGGGCAACCTTTTTACATATGACCTGAAAATTTCAGGTCCGGGTGACCTTGGGTCAGGTCACCAGGTCAGAAAAACCGGTACAAGGTCATGGTAAAATATCAATTTTCTTTTTGCACCTGTCCAACTCACATTTTTTGACTGATTTCCTTCAAACTTTCAGGATGTGCTAAGTTCACCGAGTTGTAAAACATATAGTCCGGCTTTTTTGAGGTCACTGACCTGAGGTCAGTTAGAGGTCATTACGTCGTAATGTTAAGCCTATGGGAAAATACTAAATTCGGAAAATACTGGAGATATCCGCTTCGTTCTATCACTTTTGTGCTTTGAAACCACGGTACTTAACAGCAGGTCACTTGGTGCTCCTTTGTTTGGTGTACTTATCCATGGGTCAGGTCAAATGAGGTCAACTGAGGTCAAATGACGTTTTTGCCAATAACTTGGCACATAATGACGCTAGAGCTTAAAAAATGGTATCATTGTGTTCCTGGTGATCAGCCGAATCGAATGATATTCAATATGATGCAATTTGGTTAACTTGAACTTAATTTATTAATTTAAGTTTACTTAAAATTTAAGAAAAACTTTAAGTACACTTAAGCAAGCTAAAAAGTATATCATTCGACGCGCCTTGACGTGCTGAGTTCACTGGTGTTTTTCTTTTTGCTCTATCTTAATTAGATCAAAAGTTATAAGGGAAAAACTTTTGACCTGTTTTTAGCGAAATTTTTACATTTATACCCCCCAAAACCCCCCTAAATATTGACCTAGAGCAACCAAATTTGCACATAGGCGAGAACTCCAGGGGGCCCACCTACCTACCAAATTTGGTATTTCTAGGTGTCATAGGAGCCAATCGCGAGGGGGGGTCGCATCGACCCCCCCCCCTGCCAGGCCGTGTTATGAAAAATGCCCTGCCAGGGCGAGGGTTAATGACCTAAGCATAAGCTACATTATGTTTTGCAGCACCACATGCCGCGTTCATTCTTACCAGTAGGGGAAGTTGGGGCAATGCCGGAGTTGGGGCAAAGCCGAAATTCGAGATATTTCTAAAACCGTACGACATGGATGCCACGTCTCAGTGATGCTCTGAAGCTTAAGTGACTACAATTATCGCATGTTTGTTACGAGTCGTCATTTGGAATACTTCGGCTGTGAGGGCGCCAAAAGCGTTTTCAAGGTACGTTTCCCTTGTACTATATGCGCCTTTGAAGCTGCAATTTCTTACTCATTATGCTACCGTTTGTCTGGCCAATTCGGTCAAGTAATCTTCAGCATGTCTTTGCATAAGTGTGCTGCCTATTTGAAATTTATACAGCACGTTTAAAAGTTATGGGCCTGCAAATGAAAGTATGGCTGGCTGGGGTAATGCCGAAAACGTGCAATTACGCACGTTAAAGCACGCTACGTGGACTTTACTGCTGTAGAATAGCAACGCGTATTTTTAGTCAAACAAATTACACTTTCAGCCGGCACAACGGCCTGTTACCTATAAGGAATGATTTACCTGGCATTTTCTTATTATATCACACAATTATAACTTCCAGTGTGCACCAAGCGTCCTCAAGCTCTTAAAACGCGTGTCAGCTTTGATGAATTTTGGATAAAGTTTGAGATAAATTGGCAAAACATCAATGTCGGCATTCCTCGTAGATCATTTTTCCCATTTTCGGCTTTCCCCGCAGTCCGGGGCAACGCCGAAAAAGTCAGTTCTTTGATATTTTTAGTTTTTGCGCTTAACGGTATGCGAATTCATCAAATGCGCCTGGTATGTTTGAAAGAAAAAAGACTGGCCTCTCGAATGACGCCAACAAGAATAGCTTATGTTGTCTACCTTGCGTGCTACGGGCGTCAGAAAAAAAGTATTCGGTGTTCACCCAACTTCCCCTAACAACGCAAAAATTGTGACTAAAAACGTCATTTCCCCATCCCAGCGAAAGCTAATTGTTTGGCAATGCATCAACCATGATCAAAAGGTATGGCACCAGCAAAAGTGGTCGTTGATCAGAGTACATGACAGGCTTGCAATGGCTCAGATAATGATTGGCCTTGTGGTCTTATCCTTTCTGTCCATCTCAGCGACATGATCTTTGATAAACAGATATGATTCACCTGCACGATGTGTTGCTGCACTACCATGGGTTGTTACCATTGGGTGTTCATCCATGTGTACCATTGCTTGTTAATCCATGATTGCCATTATGTGTTAATTCATGATTACCATTGCGTGTTAATACATGATTACCATTGCGTGACCCGTGGCAGATGGTAGGCATATACTGCTAATAGTTTCTTTGTTGTTTTATTTCAATTTGAAATGTAAAGTCTGACTGAACTCTTGAATAGTAAGTATTAGCCGTTTTACGGCGGCCATCTTGTAAAAATTTGGTGCAGATTAGGTGCAAATTTTGGTGCAGCTTTGGTCCAATTAGGTGCACCTTAACCCGGCAGTTGCTGGGGTATTTCGCCACCCACCGTTTGCTGGGGGGGGGGGGGCGTTAAACGCCCCCAGCCGATAACTCGAGAACCAATAGGCGCAGCGAAACGCACGAGGCGGCAAACGAAAGAACGTGACGAGACGCTTCAGATGAGTACTTTAAAGTTGAATTTTGAGGTCACAGGTCGGGTCAAGGTCAGGTCAAACACCTGAAATCGGGCTTACAGTAGCATGGACTTCAGGACTTCGCAATGGGCGCCTCTCGTCATAAACTCTGTCAAAATGGTGCACAATCCATCATATAAGGCCTACAAGAGTGTCAGCTCCATGTAGGGGTCAGTCAAGCATAGGTCAAGGTCAAGGTCAGGTCAACCCGGTAGGCACATATCCTCGAAAATCAAAACTGATATTCGCAGCCTGTGACACATGTTTTATGGGTAATTTGGGGCGTAGAACACGATGGTGACATTCATTTCATCATATGTGTACGTGTTTGGCTAAAAAAGTTCAATTTAAGAAATGCATGTATCATGGTCGTGAAGTAGTCACGAGAAATTGCCAAGATTCAGTTCAAGATTTTGGAAAATGCGGAACGATAATCAATAATCGAAGATAGCCATTTGATTGTTCATGGTATTGGCAGCCTAATGGCGTTCACGGCATGTCTGTATGTCTATTTTGTGATTTTATATGATTTTTTGAACATATGCCGTTTTTGGCCGAAAAGTCAGAAATCATGACGTCACTAAAACCTCGATATCTCAAAAATTTTCCGACCGATTTTTTTGAAACTTTGTCACAATAAACTTCAATCAATTCCCTACAGGTACCCAAAATTTGGCGCGCCTGCAACGCGCCGTTTTTATGCTATGGCCCGGCGAAAAAAGTGGGGGCGTTTAACGCCCCCCCCCCCCCCCCAGCAACTCGCGGGTTAAAAGTTATCAGTTTGGACTGCACAGGTACCTATATGCTTCATTTTTCACATTATCAGACATTATTTTCGACTGAAACACTGAAATAAATTCATAGTATGAAGATATTTGTTATAAAAGAGATTAGGTGCAATCACCAGATAGCTCGTCTGAATAAGGTTTTTAGGTTTCATACCTATGCACTGTCGTCTTTTATTCCCGCAAAGTTTCGATAAGTAAAATCATTTCATTGCAAGTGTTCAGTCATTTTCAAACACCTGCCAGGCAGCGCGGATTCATTTATTGGCTTTATTTAACTCCATACTTACACGCGACACTTGATACGGTTATCATGCACAGTAAAAGCACCACAGATGAGTACATACGGCATAGATATTTAATGCATTGTAATAGCTCGTCTCTCGAAAACATAAGTCTGCTCTAAACCCAGCTACATCCAACACTATCGATCAGCTTATCTCTGTCAGTTTCGGCGATTGCTCGGGTCTCGGGGCTGACCTCACGACTCACATGCTCCAGTCACTGTACACCTACAGGTCAAAGGTCAATACTAACGACGGATCCTGTTTCCCAGCGGTTGAAATGACAGGGCAGACAATCTGGTGGCCGGATCGGAGGCCCTTCGACTGATACGGATCATTTGGGGCTGGACTTCGAAATTCGAATTGATGCTTACGAGTACGAGACGCCATATCGATGACAGGATGATCGCTTTCCGTGAATACTCCACTTTTTAAAGCGGAGGATTCATCGTTCGGCTGCGAAGGCGCCTTTTTTGACATATTGATATTATTATCCATCCTTCTTTGTGGCAGGTCCGACTTTCTTTGCGGCAGGTCCTCCTTTCTTGGAGCTCTTGGCGCCCCCTTGGGTGACCCTGGCATACAGCAGGTTCAGGAGGGCTCGGTCGCTCATGTCCACTGCCTTGTAGAGCCCCAGAACGTTGTTGTTGTGTGGAGACCGCAGCACGTGGCTGAATCGGCAGCTCTCTGGATGTGAGCAGGTTCCTGTGACATAGTCTCTGAAGAAACAAACGGAAAACTCGCTGTAAAATGATAATAAACACTCCTGACGAAAGTATTCTGACTAACGTGTGAAGACACTGAAATGATTCTAGATCTGCCATTGTAATTGAGCTGACCTAATTACAGGGTGTCTCAAAAGTTCGTTTACAGGTACCAGCCATGCTTTTTTTGTCAATAATTCTGAATCAACAAGAAATTAACAGTCGAAATTTTGCATGGGCATTGGTAACAACCTTCCTCAAGCAGCTTCATTGTTTTCAAGCGCATTCGACCCTTCATGAGCTCACAAAAAGGGTTCACCTCTGACCATGGATCAGGCATGAAAATGGAGGTCGCATACTCGGGTCGGCTGAGAAACTCTCTGCTTCACGAGTAATGGGAATGGTTAGGTCGGAAATGACACATGGCAAAGTGTCGGCGAGGATGAGTACAACATGATGGTCATCTAATAAAAACGGTGGCTAAAATTTTTGAAGGACAAAACCATGTGAGACTAACAGCGCTTTGAACGACCCTTGTACCGCAGCAGACTCGTGCTCCGGAAAGCAGCTGAAAATGCAGTCCTAACTATTGAAAACTGACTAGAAGCTCACAGACAGAGGTTACCCAGTTTCAAAAATTGCAGGTCATCATAAAATAAAGACAAAATATCATTTAAAATTGTTTATAATATCTATAACGCTAAATTTTGAGGGGAAATAATGCGAAAATCGTCAATGCCGAGGACAAATGACCCTCCAAAAGTGTTAATTAATGTAAAGTTTTATCTAACGAAGTTTCAAGAGGCAGATCTGGAGCAAATAGCTTTCTTTTACACACAAAATCCGGACAAAACCGCACGATGGACAGGTTTTGGCCGTTTACAAAGCAGAACCTCTCCTGAGGAAAACACTCCGGAACCCAGCGAAGGTCTTGGCATTGGGAATGACGAGCGTTCGGGATTTGCAAAATTTGCAAAATGTGTCTAAGAAACAGATGGCCGACACATTCTGCTACGATATGCTGCGAAAAATTTGCCCCTGGCACTTCCCATTTGTTCAGGAATGGGGTTGTTTTGAAAAGGAAAATGGTGCTTGGGAAGTCGGCGCCAGTCATTCATGAAGGAGTTAGCGCCAGAGAAGACCTACAAAATACTCACGGATGGTGTCGATGCAAGCTGTCGGCTTTCAGGGAGAAGCGGATGTTGCCGGGGAGCTCGTCAAACCTAAATCCGACGCAGAAACTGCAGGGGATTCCCCTACAAGAGCTTGAAAACTGGTAACCTTTTATCAGCCTCCGGCAGCTGACGGAGTGACGAAAATCGGTATGGGCAAATATTTTTGGAGATACAGCAAAGGGTTTGGTTTCCAACCTTCCGAATCAGTTGTCAAAGCATGCATATTTGTCTAGTGTACACACGGACACCAAAACCTTAGATTTTTGGCAGGTTCTTATATGCTTTATTGACATGGGAAATGTGTAAACGAACTTTTGAGACACCCTGTATGTTAGGTATTTCGTAATATTTTGGGCAACTAAAGAAAGCTCGCGTCTATATGGTTCGGGAGCTGAATAAGAATTAGCGATTAAAATATTTTTTTTTCATTGGAGATAACCTTGGGACAGTATGAAAGAAAAGGAAAATTGTTGAGTTATTTGTATGTTTGTCACTCAGAGCAGCGTCACGCTCTATTAAACCCTTCGAGAACTCGCACGGTTCAAATTACAGGCTAGGAGAAAAATAACGCACGACGTTGCACGTTACCTAGATGAGAGCCGCAGCAGTAAGGTACTCACCGGCAGATATGGACACGGATGCAGCTGTTCATTCGACAGGATTCGGCCTGATTGCGACATATCTCGATATGGGAGTGATAGAACTTCTGGTTGGCGCAGCCCTCCTCGGCAAAACGGCGTCGCAGCTCCGCTATAAGCTGCGCATCGTTCCGGGATGTCTCTTCAATGCACGCAGCCTGAAACGTATTCATAATGTGTTCATAATAGGTATGCAGTTTACTATTGGGAGCTGAATATCCAAAAAGGATTTGACTAAAGCCTCAGTGCTTACTAGAAATAGAGTATATGTACATATGTAAGTTCAACAACATAACGCCTTTTAGGGATTTCTTAACACTCCCCTCCCTTCTAACTCGGCTCCTGGCCCACGTAGCAACACGCGGTAAGCGGCATTTGAAAGAACGGCCAAAATCAGGACGAAAACACTTTGTTATTTTCTAGGTCAGGTTAAAGTTCAAGTCACCAGAGGTTGCCAAAGGTAAAATGTTGGCTATTCAACATTTTGGAAACTGCCAGCGGCTAACTCGGGAACCGATAGAGCAACAGAGCCGCGAAAAAGCGCATTCGATAGCTCTTTTAACGCTCTTTCGCTATTATGCCCTCAGATTTGACCTCAGGTCAACGGTTTAGCCTCCAAAGGTCAAAAACTAAAAAAAAAGTTTTCGGCAAAAACTTTTGACTAAAAAAAGTCACGATATTTCTGTTTCCAGCATCGTGTTCCTCTCGTCGAGACGCGTCGAATGAACTATAATTTGACCTTGGAAGGTCAACTTGAAAATTTGACCTCAGGTCAAGGTCATGACCTGACTGGAAAAGGTCATGTTGCATATCAGTCGATCCGCAACGTCGAGCCAAACACATCTGAAGCGTTTCCCTCGCTCTAGCATGCCTCTATCAGAAGTTATTAGCGAAAAACTGTTGGAAACTATTGGTGACCTGAGATGACCTCGGGGGCGTAACAAGGAGTCACAGTTGCCATTTTCCAGTTCAATGTGTCAATTTTACCTGCATCTCGCTGTTTGAGAGTGTCTAGAATGGTGTTCGTGCAAAACAGACGCTTTTCAATTTTCTCCCATTGACTTTTAGGTAATCGGAGAGGCCGAAAAATTGACCTGACCTTAGGTCACCGATATCAAAATTCCCAGATATACATGTCATAGATACAGGTACTCTTATCAATCGCTGAAAGGTGCAAGGCAATCGTTCAGTCGGTGTAGCTATGACGAACATTTCTATTTTTCTGAGGCGAGGTCACTTGGCGTGACCTGGTGACCTGACCTTTGGCGACCTGGGTCTGAAATTTTCACAACATGTGCGGAAAAGATGCACGAACAGGTGTGCCAAAAACGGCGGCGCTCTGCGCCGCTGTTTTTTTTGGGGGGGATATCGAAGGAAAACCACAGGGAGGGTGGGTGGTGTTCAACCCCCTCCCCCCCCCCGGCGCGGGTTAGGTCTAAATTGTGTGGGTCACCTATTTCATTCTGATGAAAGTCAGAACTCTATTCACGGTACCGGTATTCAGCATTCAGTATTCAACAACTCACCTTGTTATGTTCGGACTTGAGCGTGTGCTCGTTGCGGCATCTGTGTCCAAATTTGCAGATTCCGGCCAGGAACAGTTTGCAGAGGTGCACCTGGCCGCACGCCTCCTTCTTGCAGCCGTTTCTGGTCCAGTACTGTTGACAGAGCGCCGGCAGGGGGGCGGCGGCCTGCCGAACGGACTCCGCAGGGGCCGGCTCACGAGCCGCCGCCCGCTCTCCAGCGGTCCGCGCTGCTCCGGTGGAGGGTGCGATCTGACCCCCGCTGGCCGACCCTGTCTGACCGCTGACCGCCGCTGTCTGGCCGCTGACAGCCGCTGTGTGACTGCTGGCCGACCCTGTCTGACTGCCGACCGCCCCTGTCTGACTGCTGGCCGCCCCCGTCTGACTGCCGACCGCTCCCATCTGACTTCTGGCCGCTCCCGTCTGACTGCCGACCGCTCCCATCTGACTGCTGGCCGACCCTGTCTGACTGCCGACCGCCCCTGTCTGACTGCTGGCCGCTCCCGTCTGACTGCCGACCGCTCCCATCTGACTGCTGGCCGACCCTGTCTGACTGCCGACCGCCCCTGTCTGACTTCTGGCCGCTCCCGTCTGACTGCCGACCGCTCCCATCTGACTGCTGGCCGACCCTGTCTGACTGCCGACCGCCCCTGTCTGACTGCTGGCCGCTCCCGTCTGACTGCCGACCGCTCCCATCTGACTGCCGACCGCCCCTGTCTGACTGCTGGCCGCCCCTGTCTGACCGCTGACCGGCCCTGTCTGGCCGCTGACCGCCGCTGTCTGACTGCTGACCGCCGCTGTCTGACCGCTGACCGACCCTGTGTGACTTCTGACCGCCGCTGTCTGACTGGTGACCGGCCCTGTCTGACCGCTGACCGCCGCTGTCTGACTACTGGCCGCCTCTGTCTGGCTGCTTACCGCCCCCGTCTGACTGCTGACCGCTCCTGTCTGACTGCTGGCCGCCCCTGTCTGACTGCCGACCGCCCCTGTCTGACTGCTGACCGCCCCCGTCTGACTGCTGGCCGCCCCCCTCTGACTGCTGGCCGCCCCCGTCTGACTGCTGACCGCTCCTGTGTGAATCGCACCGCCCGCCCTCGTTGCACCCTCTGCGGCTGCCCCTGCCATTTTTCCCTTAGTGTGTTCATTTACTTGCTCCTGCATTTTTAACTGATTCTTTTGGGTCTCTTCTCTGTGAGCCCGACGTTCCCTTTCAAGTTCTTCTTGCATCCTACGCATCGTCTCTTGGGATTTTGCATGTGCTTCTTGGTTAGCTGACGCCATTCTCATGACCATCTCTTGCATTTGTTGAAATTTCCTCTCAGAGTCTTCTCGTGCCTTTCTCTCTCTTTCTAGTGTTTGTTTCATCTCCTCCTCCTCATGTTGCTTCTGTTTTTGCTTCATTTCTTCTTCACGTTTTTCGTGTTCTTCCTTCTCCTTGGCTTCATTTTCTTTTTCATTTTTCTCTTTCTTAGAGTCGTACCAATCTTTTGCTACCTGTACTACCGCGGGAATAAGGTTGGCGGCAACTGTAGCAGCTGTGGCTGCCATGCTTTCTTGTGGCTGTTTCGAAGCGGTGGATTTTCGTGGCCTGCTATTGGAACTTTTCCCACGCTTAGTCATCCCAGTGTTGAGGTGTTCAGTGATGAATGGACGATGGCTAGTTGTACTCCACTGACAGTGCCGAATTAAATTGGTTCCATCTCAGGTAACCTGAAAAGGAAACAATCACGTTAAAAGGCCGGATGAGTCTTTCGTCATTTCTACGAATAACCCTCGCCCGCACTTTCCCATCCTAGAATGCACATGGGAGGGGGTGGTTGCGACTCCCCCCCCGCGCCATTTCGTTCCTGCTGGAGATAAAGCTTCGCGTTAACCATCGCCCTGGCAGGGGGGTCGATGCGACCCCCTCCCCCCTAAGGGTTTTCGAAGATAGCGTAAAAACGGTGGCACGCAGCGCCGCCAAATTTGGCACAGCCTATGGGGCAACCTTTTTACATATGACCTGAAAAAAAATTCAGGTCCAGGTGACCTTGGGTCAGGTCACCAGGTCAGAAACACCGGTACAAGGTCATGGTCAAATTTCTATTTTCTTTTTGCACCTGTCCAACTCACAGTTTTGGACTGATTTCCTTCAAACTTTCAGGATGTGCTAAGTTCACCGAGTTGTAAACATATAGTTTGGGTTTTTATGTCGCTGACCTGAGGTCAGTTAGAGGTCATTACGTCGTAATGTCCCAGCCATCCCAAATGGGGCCCACATGGGCTGGAAGTGGGGCATCTGAGCGAATATGGGCTGGGCTACATCTGGGTATGTCATGTGCGTCCAACTAGGTCCCAGATGGGCTAACTTTAGGGGAGAGCGGGGAGAGTTGTATCATGTCCAAGTTGTATCAGGGCGAATTGTGCCAAACTTATCCAATAGATAGCGCTCGTGACACGACCAGCCGACAACGTTTTCCGGGCGCCATCTTTCCCTGTACTGTCGTGTGGCTGGGTGGACGCGTCTCGAGGTGAGAGCCGATTTTATGTTTTTTTAATGTCATTCTAAAAAGGTGAGTTGCAAGAAAATGTGTGTTTTGGGCATTTAGATGTGCACAAATTTGAAAGATCTCCGTAGCGGTGGTGAGGGTAGGTTCTAAGGCTGCGTGAGTGAAAATGGATTACTCCATCTGTCCGCTGTTTTTGAGCACGAGGATGTTTTTTCCAAGATGGCGGCGAGGTACATGTTGTATCAGAGCCGGGTGGGGTATGTTGTAACATGTATGTATGTATGGGTATGTTGCTTTTGATCGCGAAAGCTAAGCCCTGTCTCGCGTTGGTAGGTAGCTAGTCAATACTCGTTCCATTTCGGCACAATGTGTTGGCTTCTTTGCTCTTAACGGGCCATTGCATTGACCTAAGTTTGGTCTAATAAAAGTGAAGCCTTTGAGTGATATACATTGTATTAACCCCATTTAATGTTGTTGTTATGTTCAAAACCAGTAGCAAGCACACTCCCTGAAACGTGAAATAACTAGTGATACAAATTACCCCACCATGTGATACAACTTGTGGTAACCACGTGTGTCGCCGGCCGGCACGGGAGTTCCCGGCGCAGACCGATTCGCGCGCCGACTTGTGACGTCGCTACCCCGCCCCGGCGCTGGGGAGGCGGCCCAGGACGTGTCTGTTCGTGAACTTTGTCCCATCACGATGCGACCGCGTGTCTGCGGCCTGCGCTGCCGCAGTGCGTCGGCCAGTGACCAATCCGCGCTCCGATCGGCAGCCACGTGGTGTCCGAGTGCTTCTGCGCATGTCTGGACCCGGCCCGCTGCGTCGGGCCGCGCGCTACCCCGGGACTTCTGGCCGAGCTGTTGGCCCGAGCAGACGCGTCACGTCTGGCTCCGCGATTTGGCCCGTACTGTCCGGGATTTATAACTTAGATTAGGCAGGGCATATTTGGCAAACGTGGATTTCATTCTCGTCTCTTCGTCGCTCCATTGTCTGATTCGTTGTTTCGATTTTTGCCTTCGTTTTGGAACTTAAAATATAACAACCCGCTCTTTTAATTAATTCTTTTACTTGGGGCCGTTTGGATCGAACTGATTGAATTTATGGAACACGCACCAGGTTGATATTCTCCATTTCTGATTAACGTAAAATCCAGTCACTGATATGTGGTGAACAGCCCCACAACACCACAAACTCACCCAAGCCATGGGGCAAGTTGTATCAAAAACATTGTTCTATTCGGCAGATCGTAGAAGAAAAACTGGTAGAGGTAGCAGAAAAGTTACTTTGCACAAAAAAGCAGAAGAATCAAGGAAGGAGATAGTATGGAAATAATGAGTTTATCACGGATAGTTACGAGGTTATGGGTCTCGGAGTAAAAACTGATACAACCCACCCCACTCTCCCCTACGTGCTGGGCTTGGCCGGCGCCTCCAGGCTCCACTGTGCCGCTACCCTGCCTGATCTGTGCCGCTACCCTGCCAGACTCCTGATCTGACAGCCTCCTGGGCACACCCCTACCCGCGTCCCTGCGAGGTCGCTGATACTGTGTTGCCGGCGTTCGTTGTGTGGTGGCGCGGCCGCGGGGCGGCCGCGCGCCGGCAGTTGGTGACTATGCTATAAATAGACGCAATACGGCGCTGCCGGACCGGTCGGGCCTCTACACAATCGTTACAAACTTTTCTCCTTTTTCACAATAGGTAGGTACAGTCCACAGCAGAAGTAATGTGTGGTTTCAGTCATGGGTATGTTCTGCTTGTGAAGCCTAGGAACGATCAGCCAGACTGCAACGAGACTTTAAATGTAGCTTACATGTATCTTCACCCTTGCAGCTACAACTTTATCTATTGACGTCTTCTTTTCAATCAGTCTGCATTTAAAAATCGTCGGTCAAAGCCATCCGTTGAGATTGGTAAAACCATACATACATTACTTTAGCGGTGGGCTGTACGCATCCACGCTTCCGTTCTCTATCGGCCGCCGGCCGTCTACCTGCAATGGTAGCGTAGTGTAGTGGTTAGGGTCCCCGCATCATGTTCCATAGGTCTTGAGTTCGGATCTCTGGGGATCTAGTGAGAGGCAAAGGCTACGCGGTTCTCTCACGTGTGACCACATTGCTTTTTGGGATTCACGCGGAAATAGTGTACGACATAAGCTAGGTACCAAATCCCAATTAAAATCCATGTGCGCTTTTTGCATGTGTCCGTGTGAGTCCCAACTGGGGAAGCCCGTGTGAGACCCATATATATATATATATATATATATATATATATATATATATATATATATATATATATATATATATATGCACATACATATATCCCAGCAGGGTCCCATATGGGCCCCACTTGGGCTGCCCATGTGGGTCCCAACTGGGAAAGCCAATATGCGGGCTCAATACGGGCCCCAGAAGGGTCCCACATGGGCCCCGTCTGGGGTGCCCAGATGGGACCCAGTTGGACGCCTATGACATTCCCATCTGGGTCCAAGGTGGGCAGCCCAGATGGGTCCCAGTTTGGTGCCCACTTGGGGCCCATGTGGGCCCCACTTGGGAAGGCTGGCTGGGGTTAAGCCTATGGGAAAATACTAAATTAGGAAAATACTGGAGATATCCGCTTCGTTCTATCACTTTTGTGCTTTGAAACCACAGTACTTAACAGCAGGTCACTTGGTGCTTCTTTGTTTGGTGATCCATGGGTCAGGTCAAATGAGGTCAGCTGAGGTCAAATGACATTTTTGCCAATAACTTGGTACATAATCCCGCTAGAGCTTAAAAATGATGTCATTGTGTTCCTGGTGATCAGCCGAATCGAATGATATGCGATATGATGCAATTTGGCTAACTTAAACTTAATTAATTAACTAAAGTTTACTTAATAATTAAGAAAAACTTTAAGTACACTTCAGCAAGCAAAATGTATATCATCCGACGCGCCTTGACGTGTTGATTTCACTGGTGCTTTTATTTTTGCCTTATCTTAATTAGATCAAAAGTTAGGAGCGAAAAACTTTTGACCTGTTTTAAGCAAAATTTTTACATTTATACGCCCCAAAACCCCCCTAAATATTGACCTAGAGTAACCAAATTTGAATAGGGGTGAGAAATATAGGGGGCCCACCTACCTACCAAATTTGGTGTTTCTAGGTGCCATAGGAGCCAATCGCGAGGGGGGTCGCATCGACACCCCCCCCCCCCCCCTGCCAGGCCGTGTTACGAAAAATGCCCTGCCAGGGCGAGGGTTAAGACCAAAAAGATTCTTTGGGAAGAGTCGAATCCAATGATACCCAGTTTTAGTTGGGAAATAGGTGCCAGGTGGAAATAATTTTGATGAAGTTCATCGTCTGTAAAATCAAGGTGCGTTAACCAGTATTATCTGTAATTCAGCTAGCAATTATCGTGCCTTGTTTACAGAGATGTTTACAGTGCAGGTTGAACTTAAAAAAACTATATTTCAGCACTTTTCTCCAAAATTGTAGCTCATCCTAGAATGCATCGCTAAGCAATTAAGCATACTCACACATAACTATGTAAAGCTCGACTGCGGGTCCCGTTTCAGTTCGTGATCATTCTTACCTTAGTCTGACCGGTCAGCCGGTTGGGGTTAGCGGTTGGCCCGGTGGAGAAGTCTCTCGGTGTCACCTCTGCCCGGTGAATGCCGTGCCCTCGACCTCCGGTCGGCCAGCTAACCCGTGCTCTGACCGTGACGCTATCACCGAGCTGATAGGTGGTGTCATCTCAAACAATATGGGCGCCAGGTATCGCCCCGGGGTCCCCCGCCGCGCGGATCACTTAAAATAGCGCCATCGGGGAACGATACGAAATCGACCGGTCAAAGTCGGCGAGCGAACCGCTATCAGGGAGCCTTTAGAAGTTCTCAATACGGTTCTCATCATCATAAAATAATATCAAAGACAGCTATATGTGTTTCAGTTTTTTCAAGGTCAGAATCCAGAATGATCCATGCACCTTTAGTAACGTAATCTTGCATGCACCCCTTGCTACTTAACCCGCGCCCCACTGGGGGTCCTGGATTTCCACGCCCTGATGGGGGGGGGGGAGAGAGGGGTGTTTGAACACCTACACATAACTCGGGAACCAATAGAGCTACAGTGCCACGGAAAAGCGCATTCGATTGCTCAATTAATGCCCTTTCTGACAAATTCTCTCAGATTTGACCTAACGTCAACGGTTTTGCCTGCAGGGGACAGAAACTGCCAAAATAGCCGATTTTTTTTTTCAGAAACAGTTTTTCTGCAATAGCCTTTGACCCAAGCCGTGCACGAGGTTACTTTTACCGGCATCATGTTCCTTCCGTCAAGACGCATCGAAGGAACTATAACTTGACCTGGAAAGGTCAACTTCAGAATCAGAATCAGAATCAGAATATATTTAAAGCTCATCCAGGCATTCACTGGTTTTTCATGTGCTCGCGTCAACAATATGGACAAAAGACGCTTAACCGGTAAAAGCCACGATATGGGTAAAAGACACTTAAAACATGTAAAACAAAAGTGGGAGTGCTAAGATCACAATAAAAGCTCCTGTGCGTACATATATGTGCGTTCACCGCCGCGCCGTGCTCAAGTATTTCTTGACGGTCCCTCTGAACGCCGATATGCGGGTCTCCCTAATGTCGCGCGGCATGGCATTGAACGCGCTGGCGGCTCGATAGGCAAACCTTCGCTTGCCAGACTCGGTTTTGACACGTGGCAAAACAAGAAGGTCATCCTGTCTGGTCGACCTCGATCGACGATCTCACACTCAGCGCGGTACGAAACAGGCCAGCGGAGCCGCTCGGCTGTCCATGGGTCAGGCCGGCTTTGATTAAACACAATGTGCGGTACATTAAGAGGTCCTGGGCAGGTAACCAGTTCAACTCAGCCAGTACATCGCTTACGTGCTCACGTCTACGCCGTCCTGAGACCACTCTTGCACAAAAATTAAGTAGTTTCTGCACACGCGACAATGAGTGAGCGGTAGAGTTTCCGTATACAGAGATGCAATAGCGAATCAGGGAAATCACTAGTCCATCCACGAGCGCTGGTAGTACACTCATGGGGGATATGATGTCTCGCATGACTGAGGCCGACCAATAAGCCACCGTTCACTTCGCTACCAACTGGTTGACATGCGGTTCGTAAGTCAAGTGTCTGTCCATTACTACGCCTAAATTTTTGACTCGCGAAATCTCTTCTACAATCACACCGTTTACATTGATACACATTTTTGGTAGACCGAGTAGCATTTGACGAGTGCCGAGTACAATCAGTTGAGTCTTACTAGAGTTTACTTTCATCTGATTTTGAGCGAACCACTGAAACAAAGTGCACAGAGCCGATTCCATGCGTTGAACGAGTTGCGCAATGTCGCATTTACGTCCGGTAACCAGGATCTGTGAGTGTTATCGGCGTATTGCGTGATGTTGACATCGCTGTTGACATATAAGCTAAGATCGTTGGAGAAAACGTTGTACAAGAGGGGTCCGAGCGAGGTGCCCTGATAGACGCCAATTGGATTTCTGACTGCGTTGGATAAGCGCTGACGTCCAGCGGGAGTGCTCAACTTGAAAATTTAACCCTAGGTCAAGGTCATGACCTGACCGAAAATGGTCAAGTTGCATATCAGTCGATCCGTATCTTCAAACTGAACACATCTAAGGCGTTTTCATTGCTCTAGCATGCCTTATCAAAAGTTATTTGCGAAAAACTGTTAGATACCATTCGTGACCCGAGATGATCTTAGAGGCATAAGCAGGTGTCACGAACACCAATTTCATGTTCATTGTGTCTAAGTTACTTGCAATTCAGTGTTTGGGAATGTTTACAATGGCTTTTGTCAAAAAACGGCGCATTTCAGTTTTACCCTATTGTTGGGGAGGTCGCAAAATTGGCCTGACCTTTGGCCATCGATATCAAGATTTTGAGATAAACATTTTGTACATGCTATTGCTCTTAACAATCGCTGAAAGTTTCAAAGCGATTGGTCACTCGGTGTATCTCTGGCACCCGCAGTGAAAATTCCTTAGACGAGGCCCTGGGCCATGGCCACCAATTTGGCTATCTCAACTCAAAACTAATGTTAAGGTGGGATGGTCACTTTAACCCACGAGCCGCTGGGGGGGGGGCATAAAGTTGCCCCCCCTTTACGTTTTGTGAAATATCTCCGAAACCTGATGAGCTACGAACGTGAAACTTGGCATAGCTTCAAATGAATACCTAGGCAATGTTTGAGGAAAGTTTGGTGGTTGTAGCACCTAAGATGACGTCACAGTGACGTCATAAAGTTTTGCCGTTTTCCGTTATGGACCGTTTCTGATGGCGCTGAGCATGAAACTCAACTGTAAATGAACTAGACAGCACCTGCTGTCATCCTAAAACATCTAACTACACTTCCATCTAGTTTCTGAACAATAATCGGTCCTTTATTTTCGGTCCCATATTTCTGATGTATCGTGAGGAATATGAGAGTCGCAAATCTATAATTTCACTTATGACGTCACTGTGACGTCATCTCAAATGGGATCAACACCAAATTTGGACACAACCTCGGCTAGGTATTCAGGAAGATGTGTGCAAAGTTTCGCTTCTCTATCTCTTCGCGTTGCGACGATATCGTCGCAGAAGTAAAGGGGGGCAACTATATGCCCCCCCCCCCCACAGCGGCCGGCGGGTGGCGCGGAGGCCCAGCGGCCGCAGGGTTAACCCGCGCCCCGTAGGGCTATCGGCGGACCCTACCACCCGAAGGGGGGGGGGGGGCGTTTCGCCTCCCCCTAAGATCTCGGAAATTTACAGGCCGATTTTCAAAATTCAAACGGCGTTCGATAGCCCCACCGGGGAACTACATTGTGACCTAATTTCATTGACGTAGGTCAAACCGATGACGTCACAGGTCAGGTCAAAGGTCGGATTTTCACCGTTCACAGGCATTTCAAGAAATGTGTTGTGAAATCGAGTAAATTGGTAAGTTATTGAAAACCATCGATGGTACATTGTTCGTCAAACACATACTTCGCTATCTGAGGTCACTGATACCAGGTCAGGTCACAGAGGTCAGGTCACTGGGGGTCTCCTGGGGGTCACAATATGAAAGTGTCGTGTGATACATGTTTTATGGTCCATTTTACATGACAAATGCGATTATGTGGGTCAGGCAGCCTTTGGGCCAGCTTAGGTCACGTTTTGGTGAAGGTCAGGTCAAGGTCAGGTCAAATTAGGTCAAATTTCAAAGTTGATATTTTTGCATAAAATGGTTATCGATTCGATGCAGCTCGTCACGGGGAATCTATTGGTGGTCTAAAATTGCCAAAAATTGAGTTTGAAAATTTAACGTCATCATTTTTGAACAGTTTTTTTCGCTATAATTTGGCCAAAAAACAAGATATTGATCTGAAATTTGGTGTGTAGATAGGAGACGGTAGGTACTAACACATATATTATGTTTTTTTTCGAAACTCAAAAAACTTTTTGGATTTTTTGGCAAATATATCCAAAAAATTGCTTTTTTGATTTTTGGGGGTCAAAACTCAAAAATTTTCAGAAATCTGAGATAGTAGTATTGTAGCCCTGTCAATTCTACATCTTTTATGTCCTGATCATTTTTCTGTATCTTCAAAGCTGTAGGCTGGACAGCTCTTCTCGCGAAGGCCTTTTTTCGGTCGAAAATGGCAGAACATGACGTCATTCTGACGTCATTTGTGGCCAACCTGTCATAGCCTCTATCATGTTAGGTCACAATGTGTAAAAATGATGCCTGGAGGGGTTCAGAAAGTTTGGTGGCGCTATCTCCAGCCGTTTAGGAGATATCGACGGAAAATGACAGAGGGGGGGGGGCGTTTCGGCCCCCTACGGGGCGCGGGCTAAGAGACAAAGCATAGCATCATTGCGTGTGAACAACCTTTCCAGCTTGGAAAGGACCAACGAACTTGATCTAAATAAGCCCCTGGGTCTGATCAGACATCAGCCTCTTTTTCACGGAAAATAAGAAAAATAGACGGTTTTCCTCCTAATCAATAATCCATATCGGCCAGCCGTTTTAGTCCTTTGCTCTCTTGCCTCGGAAGGGCCTCAGCGCAGACTTGGCTCCGTTCTCCGCCGACAGCGAGTGGGTATTCAGTGCAGTTCTAGGAGTCGCCGGCCCACAGTGGGCCAGGCGCATCAAAAAAGCGGAATTAAGTCGAAAATCAACTTCGGTGAAATTCCTGTAATTATGGGATAGAGTATTGTAAAAATGTCCAAAGTTTCCGAATAAGCAAGTTTCCTTTCCCCAATGTCAAGGCAGATAATGCTATAACGTCGCAAAGTAGGACTTACCGACTGGAGATGGAAATGACTGCTGTGTACCATATTCCGTTCCCCCGATTCAAAAGCTCTCAGCGTAAAATCATTAAAGTTATTCCGTACAAAATAGCTTTAAAAAAACAGCCGGTATTTCTGCGCATGTTTCTCGTACTCAAGTTCCCGGGAACTATTTCATGCTTACTAGTAGCGGTGGGGTTTACAGTGCCTGTTCGGAACCGTGGTAGTGCAACGACGCAATGAATTTATATAAGGATATAAAGAAAACGTCACCGAACAACACGAAGATATTTGCTGCCTGACTTTCCTCAAGGTGTATAGCTTGCTGCCCAATGCAAATATTTTGCGCATTTTTGCGCGAAATGGACAAATAAGGGTTTAACCCTCGCCGGCATAGGCCGTTTTGCATCTCTCGACGGCACAGGGGGATGCGACCCTCCTCGCGTTTGGCCCCTAATTGAGCTAGAGCCTCGCGGAAAAAACCATCGTGTAGGTCGTCACGAGACGAAGCCAACGGTACCCGGTTTTAAGGTCATAGGTCAAATGGTGACCTCTGAGGTCAGGTCAATGGCCGAAAGTCGGGACCTGTTAGAACGTCGTATAGTGTGGCTGCTAAGGGGGTTTTCGGGATGCCGATCACGAATATCATGTTAGTTTTGATCACAGATGATGTCTTCATGCATTTAGGCCAGGTCGGGTCAGCTCAGGTCAGGTCAACCAGTATGGGTCCTGCCGGGTAGGTATTCGTAGTAGGTGTCAACCCGCCTCTGACAGCTTCGTAACATGTTACGTTACGAAGGCACCAAAACCACTTCGTAAATGTTCAAATGGTTCCTAAATTCGAATTCAGCTCCAAAAACTAGCCCAGAAACATGTAAAACTCGAAAAAGTGAACCGAGGTCATCGAAGGTCAATGACCTGACCTGACCTTCAGGTGACCTTTACACCCACCCTAATGCATGGGACCAACATCATATCACATGTTTGAACGCTTGAAACCACGAAAAGACTGCAAACGCGCGGCCAATGCGGCATAGTGCCCGCCTGTCCCAGGCATATGTGCAGCGCAGAAATTAAATAATGACGTCATAGGTCAGTGACCTAGCGTAACCAATCAAAATTGAAAATGGATATCGGATTCGGCTTTAGCATGATATTTTACCCTGTAACGAATCGTTTTTGGCACCGCAGCTGTGCTCAATGATTTAATTCCGCTTTTTTGAAGCGCCTGGCCCACTGTGGCCGGGCGAGGGGAGGGCGGTGCCTCAACGCTGACGTGTTGCCGGACCGTGGGTACGTCGTCCGCTATCTCGGTGTCGGCTGTGTGGATTTGGAGGATACGGATAAAGCCAGCTCGACTATGGTAAGCTTATAAGCGTACTTAAATCGTGTTATGTTTCTGTTAGGTGTATTTGATTGACGTTTTACTGTTTTGCCGTGATTTTGATTGTGTTGTGTTTGCCGGTGTGGTTATGTAAAAAAGGGAAAACCGGACGGTTTATATTAATAAGAAAATCCTTTCGAATTAGATCGAAGATGAACTTTATAACTATCGTTGGAAACTATTGAGCACGTCGCGAATACCCTGGTTTTTCGGCTAGTCTCGCCCGTCTCGCCTGTGTAGTACACGGCGACCGGCGTGTTCGTCGGTGCGACCCTCCCTGGAGTGGGCAGAGGCGGCGCCAGGCCTCAGTTACGGGGGTGCCAAAAGAGCCATCTGGAGACGCAGTTACATCCGATTGGAACCGAACTCTAGTTAAACCTCAATTTTAACTTTATGTCACGAGTCAATTATTTGTCTTTGCCGCTCTGAGTTGGGTTTATCACGAACACTATCACATTGCACAACGCACACGTCTCTACGACGTTCGGCATTCCTCAGTTGCACGCTATTCGGTCTGAGGAAGTGACGTCCTGTCGTGCTAATGCCGTACCGCGATTTGACGCATAGGGGAAGTTGGGGGAACGCCGAATACTTTTTTTCTGACGCCCGTAGCACGCAAGGAAGACAACATAAGCTATTCTTGTTGGCGTCATTCGAGAGGCCAGTCTTTTGCCTTTCAAACATACCAGGCGCATTCGATGAATTCGCATACCTTTAAGTGCAAAAACTAAAAATATCAAAGAAGTGACTTTTTCGGCGTTGCCCCGGACTGCGGGGAAAGCCGAAAATGGGAGAAAGGATCTACGGGGAATGCTGACATTGATGTTTTGCCATTTTATGTCAAACTTTATACAGAATTCATCAAAGTTTACACGCGTTTAAGATCTTGAGGATGCTTGGTGCACACTGGAAGTTATAATTGTGTGATAAAATAAGAAAATGCCAGGTTAATCATTCCTTATAGGTAACAGGCCGTTGTGTCGGTTGAAAGTGTAATTTGTGTGACTAAAAATACGCGTTGCTATTCTACAGCAGTAAAGTCCACGTAGCGTGTTTTATTAACGTGCGTAATTGCACGTTTTCGGCATTACCCCAGCCAGCCATACTTTCATTTGCAGGCCTATTACTTTTCAACGTGCTGTATAAATTTCAAATAGGCAGCACACTTATGCAAAGACATGCTGAAGATTACTTGACCGAATTGGCCAGACAAACGGTAGCATAATGAGTGAGAAATGTAGCTTCAAAGGCGCATGTAGTACAAGGGAAACGTACCTTGAAAACGCTCTTGGCGCCCTTACAGCCGAAGCATGCCGAATGACGACTCGTAACAAACATGCGATAACTGTAGTCAGTTAAGATTCAGAGCATCACTGACATGTGGCATCCATGTCGTACGGTTTTCGAAATATCTCGAATTTCGGCTTTGCCCCAACTCCGGCATTGCCCCAACTTCCCCTATCTCTATGGCAGATCAGACTGAGGGAGCGAGGCTTATAAAAAATGTTATTTCACCCGCATGTTGCAGATAGGAGATAATACAAAGGGTGTCACAGTTTCAAGCGGAAGCCTCAAATGAGTAAATGGTGCCTTGAGCGAATAATTTCGTTTAGGCCCATTATTTGTAAACCCACGCTCCAGAGGTGAAACTCGATGAGCGAAAGTCCAAGAATAGAACCCCAGTCGTATTACCTATTCATGAGCCGATGGAATGCCTGTCAGTTAGGCTGTACCGCAAGGCTTGCGTGCGCTCCGGGATAGTCTACCTACCATATTCATATGTATTTGTGCGAATGCAAACAAAGCAGTCTGGCCGCCAAGTGTTATTCAGTCGCGGGTATGACGCGTGTGCCTTAGGTAAATTAAACATTTATCAACATTGTAATATGATTTGATTTCCAATCCTCGCCCTGCCTTCAGGCGGAGGTGCCCCTGAAGCCGACGCTGGTGGCCGCTGCCGGCTTTGACGCCACTGCCGACGCGCTGAACCTGCGAGATGCCATGAAAGGACTGGGTAAGATAGTCATCTTTCGGTAAGATGGTCACACCTCGGTAAGACGGTCACGCTAGGTAAGAAGGTGAAGACCCTTTGGTAAGACGATCACTCCTGGTTAAGACATTTACCCCTTGGTAAGACGGTCACCTCTCGGTAAGACGGTCACGCCACGGTAAGACGATCGATCACCCCTCGGTGATACGGTCACCCCTCGGTAAGACGGTGAAGACCCTTTGGTAAGACGAACACTCCTGGTTAAGACAACCACCCCTCGGTAAGACGGCGAAGACCCTTTGGTAAGACTGTCACTCCTGATTAAGACAATCACCCCTTGGTAAGACACTTGCCCCTCGGTAAGACGGTCACTCTTCGGTGTGATATGCTTGATGACGTGAGCTTTCAGTAACGTTTTCATATCCGATGGATGAACCACAACGAAAACTAGGATGTCTTCATCATGCATTTCATAAGCCCAGTCTTAAACACATAAAATATTTATTTCTTGAATATGTTTAGACAAGGGTGACGTTTAGCTATGGTCATGTGCATGACTATTAATATTTCATGACCGGTTGACCTTAATCGTCGAAACAGACCACGGCAACTTCTATAACCTCCGTGGTTTGTGTGACACCTGTGATCTCTGCGACCTCTATGACCTGTCTGACCTCTGTGACCTCTGTGACCTCTGTGACCTCTCTCTCTGACCCCAGGCACGGACGAGGACCGGATTATTGACGTGCTCACACACCGCAGCAGTCTGCAGCGCGCAGAGATCGCCGCCAAATACAAAGTCGCCTATGAGAAGGACCTGGAGGAGGCGTTTGCCTCTGAGCTTCACGGTGACTTTGAGCGCGTATGCAAGTAAGATGATCCGTGCATCGGTGGTGTTTTGGGGCACCTGCGGACTAGCAGAGGAGGCTGGGGTGTTGACCTAGTCTCTGGACTTGCAGGCATGCTTTGTATTTGTTCTCGTTAGGGTAGATATATGTTCCCGAGTATTTTTTCCGGGGTAGACATATTTCCGCTTTTGTCAAGAAACCCGTATCTGCAAACGCGAGCACGTATGTGCTAGCACGAATTGTGGTCAAACTAGTTTCGTGTGTGAAATGCTAGATAAAAACAGCGCCTTTCGCAATATACGATCCGTAGCTGACTATGAAGAAAGCGATCTGTGTTATGTTTTATGACATCTGACATTCCTCGTCCTGACCGTCAAATGTTATCTACATCCTCTTCTCCATCAACTCACTCACAACAACCGTTACTCACACACGATCGTAAATACTATATAGCATGCCACGGCCCAGGCCTTTACCGTCGTCTGGAGGTGGTAGGTAGGTTAATATGACCTTTTTTTCTTCAGATACATGGTGCGCCCGATAACCACCCTTCTGGCTGAGGAGCTGCACCGGGCCATGCACCGTCCGGGCACCAAGGAGGGCGTTCTGGTGGAGATCCTCTGTTCCCGCAGCAACAAGGAGATCCGCCTCATCGCCGCCGAGTATCACAAACGTGAGTTGTTCGTGGCAGAGAGAGAGAGAGAGAGAGAGAGAGAGAGAGAGAGAGAGAGATAGAGAGAGAGAGAGAGAGAGAGAGAGAAGAGAGAGAGAAGAGAGAGAGAGAGAAGAGAGAGAGAGAGGGAGAGAGAGAGAGAGAGAGAGAGAGAGAGAGAGAGAGAGAGAGAGAGAGAGAGAGAGAGAGAGAGAGAGAGAGAGAGAGAGAGAGAGAGAGAGAGAGAGAAGGGGGGCTTGGTGAGTTGTCCGTGAGATAGGGAGGGTGGTGGTTTAGGGTGAAGGGTGAGATGTCTCGTGAAGGGGGAGGGAGGGTTGGTGATTTGGAGGGGATTAGTGAGATGTCCCAATATAATCCCACCGAAGTGCACTATCATAATGCGATATCGAATCTCGAATCGGTACTTTAGCTTTGGCCGCCTCCAAGTAGAGCAAACAAACCACTCGACAAGCTACACAGACACATGTGATTCTATCTCTCTGAGGGATAGATAAACGTCAAGTCATAAAATTTCGTCATCGACTCGCTCTGTTCATCCTGATTTACGAGTATTATTTGTTTCTATTTAGGAACAGACGACGCAATTTACGTTAGATCCTATATTATATTGACTGTTTGTCACACCTATATCCGTGTTATTTTTGATTTACTGATAATCGTTTGTGGTCGCCATATGTTTCAGTTTTCAACAAATCTCTGGAGTCGGATATCGCCAGTGACACTTCCCGAGACTTCGAGGACCTCATGCTGGCGCTAGTAAACGTAATGACAACATCTCTCTCTCTCTCTCTCTCTCTCTCTCTCTCTCTCTCTCTCTCTCTCTCTCTCTCTCTCTCTCTCTCTCTCTCTCTCTCTCTCTCTCTCTCTCTCTCTCTCTCTCTCTCTCTCTCTCTCTCTCTCTCTCTCGCTCTCTCTCTCTCTCTCTCTCTCTCTCCCTCTCTTTCTTTCCATTTATAATAGTTTCTCTAGGTAAATAGCTGGGGTTTGGTTTGTAGGTGTTGTTGACTTCATGTCTCCGTTATTCTCTCAGCTTCTATTCGGTCCCCATTAACCCCCTACCTATCCCCTACCGAACCCCACCCTCCCCACAGGCGGAGCGGGACGAGCTGCACGTGAAGCCCCCGAAGCCCGACCCAGCCCACCCAGCTGCCGTGAAGCCCGTGCCGCAGCCCAGCGCGGAGCGGGCTCAGAACCAGGCCGAGCAGCTCTACAAGGCCGGTCAGTAAAGTCATAATACAGGGAAATGAAAAAGGAAGGGAGCTTATGAAGCGAACTTGATGAGGGTTCTTAGATAAATACAGGAGGGAGATTTACTTGCCGTTCCCTCGCTTGGGTCCGAATGTAAAAGCTAGTGGGGAGGTCCGCGCGTGTAACATTCGTCGGTGCTATGTTTTGTAATACAAGACTATGAGCTGATATATCAGGGTTACACTTGACGCTTCACCTAATTACTGTGATGCTCATATGTTGCGTGAGTAAGCTGCGTTGCTCGTGATATGGAGCTGTTTTGCAGCCGGCATTCTGCCCATTTTGCTAATGAGTAACATATATGCTCGTTACATCAGCACAACTCTGACCTTACCCTTTACACCCTCAGGCGAAGGAAGACTGGGGACAAGTGAGAAGTCATTCAACATGATTCTGGCCACTCAGAGCTACGAGCAACTGAGACTAACCTTCGAGGCATACGAGAAAATCTCCAAAAAGTACGTGGCAACTGACAACTTTGCTATATGAATTTTAAATGTTTTCGCCAGCGAGTTTGTTTGTTTTATGACTTATTTCTCGTGACTTATCACTATTTTGAACGAAAACTTGTATGTAATCGTAACTGTGAGTTATCATCACATAACCCGTGTGTCCGATTATCGTTTTTCCAGGACGTTTGAGCAGGCCATCCGCAGTGAGACCCACGGCGACTACCAGGACGCCCTTCTCGCTATCGGTAAGACATGATGCTCAAGCGGAAAATGCTGTTATCGGCTTCTTGGTCTTGGTTTCGTTTCTTGCAATAACGCTTAGTAAAGAATTGCATCGCCCTGTAATAGTCGGATTTAGAGGAAAAGAGAAGAGATCAAGTCAAGTGGGCAATAGCCTTGCGGTTCTCCATGACATTAGTTAGATGCATCATGCATGGGCTTTATGGGCATTGGCTATCGCAGCATTGTGATCGAACTTGGAAAGTATACATTCGAGTAGTCTGACCAAGGTGGCCCTGGCTGGTGGTCGGTGCTCAGCTCTTGCACTGTTTTATACTATCTCACTCCACCTCCAGGCCCAATGCTTCAGTTTTCAGCCTTCATATTCACAGAGCATTCACCTCCAATCAGACTGCGACAGTAGCGCCGCGGTGGGTACCTCGAACCTCTACTTCCCCCACCCGCTCACCAGATGTCTCTTCCGTCAGTGGCGGTGGCTCAGAACCGGCCTGCGTTCTTCGCTGGGCGTCTGAAGAAGGCCATGAAAGGCCCCGGCACCAACGATAAGGACCTGATCCGACTGCTGATCTCGCGTGCCGAGATCGACCTGGGAAACATCAAAGACGAGTACCTGAAAATGTTCGGCACGCCCCTGGAGAAGGATGTTGCGGTGAGTTTTTAGGGGGGGGGGGGGGGCTGGAGAGTCGGAGACGGAAGGGGGACTGGGGGAGTAATGCTAGTGATTGGTAGCTTAGAATATCTCACGGACGAATGCTCCTCAATTAATTATATTACATTATCTAGAGCATCGCATGGCTCAGAGAGGGCTTGGTCCTGTTGATTTTTTCTTCTCAATAGATTCGACGTGATCCGGCGAGATAGGGCCGTTTGTAATCCTGGTGACAGGGTAACCATTATGACATTTTTTCTTCTTCTTTTTCTTTGATAGGATGACACTTCTGGGGACTACCGTAAGCTGCTTCTGAAGCTGGTGGGAACCACCGAATAATAATGCTCGGCTTCCGTTCAACAGACCAATCAAATGCTTAATTTCATTGTATGAGCCAATCACGGTCTGCCTTCAATGCTTCCGACCAATGAAAAGCTTCATAACGCCCGTATGAAGCATCAGTCAATGGATGCCTTACATACAAAGAACTATACAAGATAGGTACTCTTGGGAAATGATGACCGATAAAAACGCAGCTTTAGAAAACAACAAAGAAGTTTGGTGTGAAGTCACAATAAAGAACTGTAAAAACTGTATATTTTATTGTCTTGGGTAACAGCAAGCTTGTTATCTTATAGGTGGATGCAGCGTTAGTATTGGGCAAAAAGAAGCTTTACCGCGCTGTAAATGAGTGTCACATATTGCATGTTCTATATTTTATAATTCTAAAGCTACAAATTTTTGCCTAACTTCTTCTGTACAGTAGGTCTATTAAAAAAGTCCCCAGCACCAGTGGGCGCTGCCTTCGCTGAGCCGAACCCCCGTCTGCCCGTCCCATATCGCGCCGGGCTCAGGTCAGGTAGGGTCAGCGGGACCGCTCGGTCCGGCCCGCGGGCGGTGGACGGGCGACCGGTAACGCTTTCCGCCAGCCAGCTGTAGAATCTAACAAACGGGACGGCCACCGCTCAGCGCAGCGAAACCGGTGTTAATCAATGGCAGTAGATGTTCATGGCCACAATGATTATGAGATAGTCATTGTTAGCCCGTGCCCCACAGGAATGCCTAGACTCTCAAGCCCTGTTGGAGTGGAAATGGGGATTAAGCATCATTCTTATAACTCAGCTTTGGGCATTTAAGTGGTATTCGAAGTAGCGTCAAAAGTAGCAAAAAGAAGAAAAGATACTTCAGCCAATTTTAGATCGGGTCAGAGCAAAAGATCATGTCACCAGAGGTCATCGATGATAAAATTTTGCTTGGACAGGGTGCGTTGCGCGCACCGATGCATTGGGTTTCCAATTTCCATGGATGCATCAACAGACTCGGAAGCTCGTAACGCTAGCGTGGAGCCGAATTCATATCAACCGCCGCAACAATGCATGGCAGCGCAGCGCAGCGTGCTGCAGCGCGGGGCCGTGAAACACCGCCCACGGCTATCCATGTGTCAGGGCAATCCAACCCACGTGATGGGCTCGGCCCCAGCGGAGCATGAGGCCCAGGACTCCCGCCCAGGCCCCCTGTCTCCCCCTAATTCCTGTCATCCTTCCCACTCTGAAATTGACCGAAAGAGCCTAACCTAACACAACAAGCAGCTCGTTTACCGCTATGTCTGAATAATATTGTCAGATTTAATTAAGGTCAACGGCTAAGCACGTAAATAACAGCAACTGCCATCATCGGTATTATGAGAAAACCAATTGCTTTTCCACAAACACTAAAAGTTTTAAGCTAAACTTGCATGAAATTAATTTTACCAGCCTCGTGGTCCTCTTATCAAAACGCTTCGAATGAATCAAAAGTTGATCTTTAAAGGTCATTTGAAGAATTTGGCCGATGTTCAAAGACATGACCTGACCAGAAATGGTCATGATGCATAGCAGGATATTAGATCTGTATCGTGGAACTTTACAAACACTATAGATGATTTCATAACTTAACCCTCGCCGGACCTATTGGTTTTCTACATACGCGCCGGCCGAGGGGGGGGGGGGGGGGCGGGTACGACCCCCCCTCGCCGTTTCGCCCCTGGTGGAGCTAGCGCGTCGCGGAAAAAAACGAGCGTGTGCGCCGTTACGAGACGCAGAGATTGGTACCCGATTTTAAGGTCCTAGGTCAACCGGTGACCTCTGAGGTCAGGTCAAGTGCCCCAAGGTACGGTTCAGTTTTTGGTGAATAACTTCGCAAAAAACGGCCGCAGAGCGCCGATTTTGGCAGCATCGTGTTCGTCTCGCTCAGGCGCGTCGAATGGTATACTTTTTGTCCGGGTCAGGTCAACTTCGGGTGTTGACCTCAGGTCAAGGTCAGGTCAGCACCCCCAGGTCACAAAGTTGGTCGAAAGGGGTCATGTCGCATGTCATTCGATTCGGCAGGTCTTCCTGAGTCCATTGGTGGCTTTCTCGTCTCGCTAGCTCAATTTGATCAAGAGTTATTGACGAAAAACTAATATGACCTTGATGACGTCATAAATGACGTCACGCAAGGTCAACATTGCAAAAGTGACGCATCTAACCTTGCAAGGAGTGCATAAAATCACGATTCTGTGTGCTTGAGATAGTTGGAGATCGTTCCCGGCGCCAGAATAGCAGTTTTCATTTTTCCCCATTGACTTATAATGGTGAGGTCACGAAAATGACCTGACCTCATATGACCTTTAGGAAAAATCCGAGATATACAAGTTGTGGGACTCATAATGGATACTAGATCCTGCAAGTTTCATTTCCCTGTGACATCTCCTCTGGCAGTGAGGGCGTTGCGAAGTTGCGACATCTGAAGACCGTGCAGAGGTTCACTTATGACGTCATAGGTCAGTGACCTGACCTGACCCAAAAATGCGGTTGGTGTCAAAAGATGCGGCTTGGATCAAAGGTCAGGTATGCCAAGTTTCAGCTCTCTATCGCCAGCGTGTTCGGAGCTATCGCGAAAAAAACCCTATGGGGGGGGGGCGGCACCCGCCCCCCCCCCTCGGCCGGCGAGGGTTAAGCATATCTATCAAAAATATGTATTACATGGCTCAGGTGTAAGCTAGGTGTGTGATCATGCTGCAGGATATTAGATCTGTATCGTGGAACTTTACAAACACTTTAGATGATTTCATAACTTAAGCATGTCTATCAAAAATATTTATTACATGGCTCAGGTGTAAGCTAGGTGTGTGATCATGCTTACGAGTATGTTGAACGCAACTGATAATGTTCTGTTGGCCACAATTTCTATATTTGATCTATCCTCCCGGATTTCATATTTTTATTAATGACACCTTGATGATGTCGAGAAGAAAAAAAACGCTTAGGAGATTTAACAGCCTGAGATACATTCAGTATAAGGAAGGGTCAAGGGTGCTAGATTGCTTCCGTCCTCGCTGGGACGGAAGCAATCTAGAAGCATCAGAAGGTCACGAAGTTGGTTGAAAGAGGTCATGTTGCATATCATTCGATTCGGCAGGTCTTCCTGAGTCCACTGGTGGCTTTCCCGACTCGCTAGATCAATTTGATCAAGAGTTATTGACGAAAAACTAATATGACCTTGATGACGTCATAAATGACGTCACACAAGGTCAACATTGCAAAAGTGACGCATCTAACCTTGCAAGGAGTGCATCAAATCACGATTCTGTGTGCTTGAGATAGTTGGAGATCGTTCCCGGCGCCAGAATAGTAGTTTTCATTTTTCCCCATTGACTTATAATGGTGAGGTCACGAAAATGATCTGACCTCATATGACCTTTAGGAAAAATCCGAGATATAAAAGTAGTGAGACTCATAATGGATACTAGATCCTGCAAGCTTCATTTCCTTGTGACATCTCCTCTGGCAGTGAGGGCGTTGCGAAGTTGCGACATCTGAAGACCGTGCAGAGGTTCACTTATGACGTCATAGGTCAGTGACCTGACCTGATTAAAAAATGCGGTTGGTGTCAAAAGATCCGGCTTGAAATAAAGGTCAGGTATGCCCATAGAGATCTTATAATATTATAAGATTATATATTATTATATTATAATATTATAATATAAGATCTAATAATAATATAAGATTATTATATTATAAGATCTCTATGAGGTATGCCAAGTTTCAGCTCTCTATCGCCAGCGTGTTCGGAGCTATCGCGACAAAAACCCTATGGGGGGGGGGGGGTGGCAACCGTCCCCCCCCCTCGGCCGGTGAGGGTTAAACCTCGCCAAGAATGTATGAAGTCACGAGTTCATGTGCTTGAGGTATAGTTTTAGGTCATCATTACGGATTTGCATCATTTTACAACCGATGACCGTGCAGTCTGCAGAGGTTTACTTAACCCTCGCCGGCACAGGGGGGGGGAGAGGGGTTGATGCAACCCCCCCATAAGGTTTTTCGCAAATAACTCGCGTAAAAAGCCGCCCATCGCGACGAAACTTTCAGTACCCTCGCATTGATCAATTTTACACGTTCCCTGAAAATTTCATGACCCTGACCCCAATGACCTTTGACCTGTGACCTCATTTCCGTGACCATGTTTGGCCGAAATCGCGATTCGGCGTATGTCGGCTCGCATTAGCCGCGCGTTTGCAAGCTTTTCGTGGTTTCAAACGTTCAAACATGTGATTTGATGTTGCTCCCATACATTAGGGTGGGTGTCAAGGTCACCTGAAGGTCAGGCCAGGTCATTGACCTTTGGTGACCTCGGGTGACCTCGGTTCACTTTTTCGAGTTTTACATGTTTTAGGCTAGTTTTTGGAGCTGAATTCGAATTTAGCAACCATTTGAACATTTACGAAGTAGTTTTAGTGCCTTCGTAACATGTTACGAAGCTGTCAGAGGCGGTTGACACATATTACGAATACCCGTCACAACCCCTACCGGTTGACCTGACCTGACCTGACCCGACCTGGTCTAAATGCTTAAAAACATCATCTCTGATCAAAACTAACACGATATTCGTGATCAGCACTCCGAAAAACCACATAGCAGCCACACTTTACGACTTTCTAGCAGGTCCCGATTTTCCCGGTTTTCGGGTCATTGACCTGACCTGGAAGGTCACCCGATGACCTAGGACCTTAAAATTGGGTATCATCGGCTTCCTCTCGTAACGGGCAGCACGCTCGTTTTTTTGAAGCTCTAGCTCGATCAGGGGCCAAACGCTAGGGGGGTTCGTACCAACCTTGTGCCGTCGAAGGACGCAAAATGGCCTGTGCCAGCGAGGGTTAAGACGTCATAGTTAAGTGACCTGACATGAAAACGTGGTTGATTTCAAATGATCCGGCTTGAATCAAACATAAGGCATATGAAATGTCAGCCTTCTATCATCAGTGTGCTTTGAGCTCCCATAAAAAAATGCATGGTGGCGGCATCACCCCTTTTTCTCGGCCGGCGAGGGTTAAACCTCGCTTCGAATTATTGCAGATAATGATGCGACCGAAAACAAAGTATTAATCTGTGTCTAGAACGGCTGCTGACTTGTTGGACAAGATCCCCAATCCTAATTTGCTAGATGGGAATAAAATACTCGGCATAAATTACGATACATATATACCCCTCGATTTGCCCTCGCGCTAAGTCAATTCTATTCATCACTGTCGCTTTTTTATCAGAGATGATGTCGCCGCTAAACGGGTTGTTTTGTTTGCTTGCTTGCGTTGAATGGTCATTACGGATTATTGAAGGATTATGATATACATAATAGGAATGGGGCAAGGGAGGATATGCACTGCAGTGCAGGTGTTTAATTTAGATCACAAAGGCATCATTTCCGGCATCGTGCAGTCACTATCTTCCCCTCCTCTGCA